GATGGGCGCCATGGTCGACGCTCCATTAGACGTGGAGGTCATGCTGGGCGCGCCTGCATGCTTCGAGCCGGGCGATGCCAAGTGTGACTGTCGGCTGGGCGGACTTAACGACCCCCGATGTGGGTTTGGGTGGTGAGATAAAGGGCTGCGAGGGCGATGAATTGATGATTTTGGCGATGAGTAGCTGTTGCCGTTGTAATATGACGAGGATGGCTTATCGGATTGTTGGGAGTAGGCATAAGCTTCGCGTGGTTGGTGCTGGGGAAAGAAAATTTACCAGGTCAGCACACGTTGCACACTAATAAGGATGGGCGCGGACGCTTGTTTCGGGATTTTTTTGGGTGGTGATGAAAGAAGGGGGTCGAGGGAAATTTTGGGGGGGCGAAAGAACCAAGGGCGATGCGCATGCAATTAATGGCGTGGTGTTTTTTTAACAAGACACAAAGGAGCAGTCGCAGTTGTACAATAAAAAAATTGACGGGGGCGGAAGGACCTGCCAACGCGGACAAGTCACGTACAAGGCGGGTTTGACGTGAATTGGGGGATTGGGCGTGGTGTTTGCTCACCTTGGGGGTTGTGGTCTGCCACGAGTCTGAGACGCGACGCTCGTGAGACGACGAGTCTGTAGTTGGATCGTAGAAGCTCCTCGTGGGCTTGGCAGCGCTGCCACTGCTGCTACCGCTGTTATCGCGCGCGTGTCGATGGCTCTCCGATGAGGACGGGGGAGGATAGTAGCCGGACGGTGCGTGCAATGGCGAGGGACCCGGATGGTGATGATGGCTTGCACCAGTCATCGGCGACGTTGAGGTCTGAGGTGCTGCAAGCCCCGACGGCGGTGGCAGCGTGGGAGCCACGGGCCCGCCAACAGAGGACGAGCCCTGCGGCTGTTGTTGTGCCATGTATGGGCTGCCGCCAGGCGCGTGCAGGCTGGATCGGAGATGCTGGGGCGACGACTGAGGGTGGTGGTGATGGTGCGAGCCGGCAGACGAGGTGTAGGACGGCGGTGGTGGATGGGGAGCGTTGTGGTTGGGATTGGAATTGTGCCCGTGGTGGTGGTCGGAATGGGCGCTGCTGGAGGGCGACCGCAGTCTGAAGGCAGAGGAGGATTCAAGGTGTCGGTGCGCTGACGAAGACGAAGGTGGAGGACCAGAGCTCCCTGCACTCATCGTGTCGCGCTGGTGTTGTCGGCCACGGTCATCTTCGGCATCGACCTGGTGTGCTGGGTGCAGCACGGTGGAATAAAACCCGTTGGTATCCATGGCTGCGACCTGGGTCAATAAGATTGCACGCCGTCACTGGGCTGCAGCCTCCTCAGGTGCCGTCTGGGGATTTGTCTAGGCTGAAATGGAAAGGGCGAGCGCTGGGCCCATTCGGAGGGCCGGGACTGTACGAGTCGCAGGCGAGCGTAGTGTTGCAGTGGGTGATGGAGGCTGCGACAGCGAAGAAAGAGGCACGATACTCTACTCGGATGACAAGCACAGTCTAGTGGGCGGCAGGAGCGAGGCCCGAGGTGATGAGGAGGGAAAAGGGAATCAACAGGCTATCTGTCTGTCGGGTGGTGGGCATTGCCAATCAATGGTCAGGGCGGAGGGGAGAACGGCAGGATGCACGATGACTGGGGGCGGTCTTGGGATGCGATGCGATGTGTTCGTGGGCGCGGCGCCTCCCTAGGAGTGTGCGAGGTGCCGCGAGGTGGTGGTGGGTGGTGGGCGGCGGGCGTTGGTGCCGCGCGGTGTTGGTTCCTACGGGCGACGCTTTGAAGCCGATCGCGAGGCGTCGTCGTGATGCGATGGGGGAGATGGGGTGAGGGGGAGGGAGGAGGCAATGGGATGAGAGGGGAGGTCTATGATGGACGTGGGCAGGAAGAGGCAGCCATGATGAGTCTACAGCAGCTGGCCGATCGCCTTTTTTTCCGGGCCAAGGCAAGTGAGGCGTTGTCCGGAGTCTGTCCTGTCTCCATGTCAGTCTGGTCTGGTCTGGTCAGTCTGATGAGCCAGCCCACTTTGCTGCTGGCGGCGTTGGTTGGGGTTCCAGCTTCAGAGTTCTGACGATCGATTTGCTCTCGGCCAATCTTACTGGCCAGCGGCTGCCCCAGGCCAACCAGAACGGCAACCTGCACAGGGTGACAGAAGAAATGAGACATCAGATTCAACGCGACCACTTTCTACAATGCCCAGAATGCTTCAGCAGCATAAAACAATACAAATTGCCGGATTTTAGCGCGTCGCCTCTTATATTTTTATCAGTAGCGCTCAATAGTTTGATGATACTCATCGCAGACTCGAGAATAAGGAAGCAGGAAAATGCTAGAGTGTCCCAAATTCAATGTCGCCCGCTGTCAGGTACCTCCCACGCCCTACCTGCTAGGTAGGTGCCACACCTTGTACGTACCTCTCGACACTAGCTCCTCAGGTAGGAATAGCCAGTACCTTGCACCTGTCGCTACCCGCATGCTTCCGCCTGCCGCACAAGGTACCTGGGACCCCGAACATCGCAACGCCCAACAGCAGGGACAATGGAAGCAGATGTAATCGTTGGGACGGAAGAGAGGGCCTATTTGTCCTGTCATCAATCAATAGCACCACAGCAGCCAACCCAGCATTGCAATCGAGCTGGACCGTGCCGGAGATAGTGCTTTAGTGCGTGCATCAATGCCCTTGTCACCCACCTCCCGGGGTACCTCCCCTACGGCGTACCTGCTACCGGGACGTTCGCCTGGCGCCATTTACTTCCGTGAGTGGCTGCTTCCATCAGACATTATCGACGTGCATTAGAAGGCGAGCAGAATTCAAGAAGGGGCGGAGGAAGGAGGGAAGCCCAGTCCTCCCCATTGTCCTTGCGCCCGGAAACACTGGGCGAGCGAGAACTTCGCCGTTCCGCCAGCTCGCCACACCCTTTCTCCCTGCATCTTCCCACAGCTAGCCATCCACACATCACCCCAATCATGGCCATCATAATCGTGCTCACCCAGCCCCCTGTTCATCACCACCATCTTCGCTACAATGGATGTACGGAATGTATGTACGGCATGCCGCGATGGCTGAGCCGGCCCAAGATGAATTAGCACCCTCCCTCTCCCAAATTCAAGCTCACGTCGACCACGCAAGCCTGCCGAACATCGCAGGCACTAAATTAAGTTTTCCACGGAGCTTCGTAGTACATCGAAATGCACCAAATACTCGCTCACCAGGGGCATACAGACTGCCGGGCGCATTCCGACACCACAAATGGGGCCAGCTGAGCCAACACGTCGTCGCACGCGCTTCTCAGGCTCGATTCCCCCATTCCTCCACAGCATCATGTAGCGCTGCCTTACAGCCCGCCAGAATCGTACGTGGCTTACCGTGCGCCCTGCCTTGTTCAAAACACCAACATGAGGCAACAACCTCCCCAAGGAGTATCAAGAAATGAGCATGCCTCTCTCATTTCTCCCCTCCTATCTTGATAATTACATTGAGTAAGAAAAGCCATTCACTGGCATCCGTGTTCCCTGACTATTGTCCATAGCACATACATCGTGTGTGGGTTGGTACGATGCATGCGCGCACTGTCCACCTCCCTGACATGTCGGCTCACACATCGGGCTGGTTTTGTCCCCAAGATTCTCGTCCCCTGTGAAAAGCCGTCGACGCCTTGCATGCAGTTTTATGCTGGGCTCCCCTCCCCGCCTTTCCTTTTTTCTTTTTTCCCAAATTTCGTATTCTTTTCACTCACACTCGCAATACACCCTCTCCCCCCAGGTGAAATTGATTATCCGTTCCCCCTTCTCTCCCCTGAACCACCAGTCGCTTATCTACCTCTGACTTGGCGATTAATGTGTGTGCTCTCGGGAAGAGACCATCTCCGCTCCCGGACATGCGAGTCGGGCTTCCCCGGCTCTCGATCCACGGTGGGGTTCCTAAGATTAGCTGGGTAAATAGTATCATGGTCCCTGTAACGTCTGCGAGCAGCTCCTCCTGGAAATCCTGCATCTCTCAGTCGCCAGCCACTGCGACGTTGTGCCAGCAGGTTCCAAAAAAAGGAACCCTACCTAGCCATTACAGACGACGCGTCCACCAACTACTGTCCCAGTAATTGCCAGCTAAGCAGAGCAGCCGCCTAGAGGCCATAGGGTCTCTCTGCTAAAATCTCTCTGCTCAATGATAGATATTTGATGGCCAAAACAATCGGACTGCTTGTTTTAATCACGTGACGGGGTCATGATAGCCTCACACTCAAACACACCGCAGGGATACTCCCGTGCCATTTCCGCCTTTTCAGTCACCGCCCACAAAAATGCCTGGGCTCCATCCATCCATCCATCCATCCATCCATCCTGCGAAGGCACGTCACAGAATAATGACCTATCCAATACGTATTTCCCTCACCCTACCACACACCACGAAAGCGCGAGAGTACGCAATCACCCATCTCGCTAGCGCCCAGACACGGGTTTTTTCTTTTGCCATCATGCATTGACGACCAGCCATCAATAACACACAGGACCTGCGTGTGAAAATGGATAATCAGACACTATATTTCCATATCATCACTCAAAACTTTCTCGAACGGACGATACGACACTGATCACAGGCAAATTTCCTTCTTCTATGTGCAACTTTTGAATGCCATTTTTGTACTAAGCTATTTCAGCCTTCTCTGGCATGGTCGGAAACCCAAAATCGTACAAATGAGAGAGACAAAAAAAATTCAGAATTCAACCATTCTATCCCATACGACAAGAAAACGCGTTAGGTCATGTGAGAGGCCACAAGCCGCTTCTATGGGTGAGGGTAAAAAATCGAGGGGGTATCTTCAGCTCCCCCCGGGGCGTCCTTGCGGCTTCGTCGAACTTTTTTTCTATCACAAAAAAAAAAACCTCGCTGCCATTCCTGATGGCAAGCCGCGCGACGCTGTACCCCGTGAAGCCGCTCTGGTCATGCAATTTTTTTAATGTCCCGTCTGCGTCGTTAACTCTATAAAATAAGATTGTAAATGTCGTATCCTCATGTTCCACCGAATCAGACGGCGCCGGCAGAAATCATCTTCTTGCGCAGGTAGTTCTTGTACTCGCCGATTGAGCCATCCCACTCCTGGATGGTCTTGTTGTCACACACGAGAATCTGCTTGGCAATCTTGTCGAGCAATCTAGGTTTTGCGAGTTAGCAGACTGTGGTTGGCATAAACTGAAGGGGGAGTAAACATACCTGAAATCGTGGGACACAACAACAACACCACCGCTAAAGGCGTTGATGGCGTCAGCCAAACTGTCGATAGTAGGAATATCCAATCCGTTGGTAGGCTCGTCAAGCAGAAGCATGTTGGGTCCGTCGATGGCGAGCAGGGCGAAGACGATACGGCTCTTCTGGCCTTCTGACAGTGTGCCCATCAGGGCAGTCTGGGAATCACCAGTCAGACCGTAGCGGCCAAGCTGCTGGCGCCAGTACTGGTAGTCCTGGGACTTCTCGCTGTACTTGTCACGGACGAAGTCAAGAGCAGACTTGGTGAGATCAAGCTGCTCAGCACTGTGCTGGGAGTAGAGACCGAGCTTCAAGTGAGTGTGGCGGGTGACGGAACCGCCAGTAGGAGACAGCTTGCCAGTCATGAGACGCAGCAGGGTGGACTTGCCCACACCGTTGGGTCCGACCAGGGCAGTTCGGGAGTCCATGTCGAAACCAAGTTCCAGGTTGCGGTAGAGGTCGTCCTCTGGTTTACCAGAGTAGGAGAATGTGACGTTGTCGAAAGACAGGACTGGGGGAGGGAGCTTCTCCACATCAGCGAAGCGGAAGGTGAAGACCTTGTCGGGGGTGACGGGCTGGATGAAACCGTCGGCCTCCATCTTGTCAAGAATCTTCTGTCGGGACTTGGCCTGTCTGACCAAGTTGGCGTAAGTACCGGCACTGGCAATGAACTTCTTGATGTGGGCAATTTCTTCCTGCTGCTTGGTGTAGGCCTTTGCCTGATTGGTCTCGTTCTCAGATCGGGTCTTGTGGTACGAATCGTAGTTACCACCATAGTAGGTCAGCAACTTACCACGCATGTCAATCATGGTGTTGCACACGCCGTTGAGGAAGTCCATGGAGTGAGAGACAAGGACGAGAGTGCGGTCCCACTTCTTCATGTACTCTTCAAGCCACACGCAAGCTTCGAGGTCCAAGTGAGCAGTGGGGTCATCGAGCAGAAGCAGAGATGGCTTGACGAAGAGAGCCTTGCCCAGGGCGACACGCATTCTCCAGCCACCAGACATGTCCTTGGTCTTCTTGTGGAGGGTCTTCTTGTTGAATCCGAGACCGGTAAGAATCAGAGAGGCACGGGTGGCGAAGGTTGAGGGGTCCATCTTGTCCATATGCTGCTCGTTGTCAGTAAGGCTTCAAGTAATTCAATAGGGTGTCTCTTTCCAGTCGTTCCAACTTGCCTCGTAAAGATCGATCAGCACGGGGCTTTCGGGGCCCTCTTTCTCCAGCAGGTCTTCAGCAAGCTTGTCGAGACGCTCCAGTTCCGTCTCGGCCTCCTTGACGACCCACTCAAGGGCACCAAGCTCAGAGGGAGGGGCACCCTCGTTCAACAGGTAGATGTCAAGATGTTCGGGGATGGGGAACTCGCGGGCGGCAATTGCCTTGAGGAGAGTACTCTTTCCGCAACCGTTCTCGCCGAGGAGTCCATATCGTTTGCCATAAGACAGTTCGAGGGTGGAGTCGGTGATGAGTACGCGGCCGTGGAACACAAGACTGGCGCTGGTGATCTTGACGTCCTTGCTGGTGGGGGTCGAGGCGAGCACACCGGTGGTGACACGGTCAGAGATGCCGTGCTCGTCCATCTGCTGGGCAAGACGGTTGACCTCATCGATCTTGGCGCCAGTGGTGGCAAAGGCGTCCTCGTCAACAATAGGGTTGCCATTCGCGTCGAGCTGGACCTCCTCGTTCTTCTTGGCCTTGCCAGCCTTGCCCTTGAGCTTGCCCTCGGCGGCCTTCTTGGCGAGTCGCTTCTCCTTGGACGAAGAAGGAGGCATGATGGCGATCTAGCGAAATAAAAAAGGAATTAAATTGAAGATGCTTCTGGGATGTTGCGGACTGAACTGCGCAGGCCACAAAAGATTACCGCGGGGTTAACGAAAACCCTGGCTGTAGAAGATGCTCTGAGGGGTTCAAACCGCAGGAGCAATAAAAAATGTTCCGGGAAAAGAGAAAAAGGGGAACACAAAATTCTGTTCCGCACGACAAAGGATAGAAAAACAAACCAGCCAGTACCGATGGATGGCTATTCCTGTCCAGGGTCTATCGTGGAGGGGGAGGAAGGTGTGTGAGAAAGCCTAGAATGCTGCCGTTGGCTTGACTGGAGGCGAGGCGGGGTGATTTTTTTCTTGGTGGGGCGATAACAAAAATTTTGGCCACTGACCCTCCATCAGCGTCAGCAATTGGCACCGTGTCAGGCATCAAGCTAAGGCACAAACAATTGAATGGATTTCACGTGCATTGGAATCTCATCTTCGCGGCTGCGGCGTTTGCATGGATCTTGAACGTGCGTCGCCAGGGGCAATGCAATGGCAGAGCTGACTATCTATGCAATACACTCGTTGGCCCTTTCATGTCAGCCCATGCCTGGTCGTAGTTCCTGCTCTTGGCTTGCTAATGTCTCACCCCTCATGCGCCAGGAGCTCCAGCAAGGCACATATAAGGCAAGAAAAAAGAGGCAAGCTCGGTGTCACCGCCAAGTGGCCCCTGTTTTTGACGTCACACTTGACCCGGTCTGTCCAAGTGTTGCTTACCCTGTACCCGATACCGATCTTTCTCACACTGAATCAGAAGGTTATTCAGTTGAGTGTACATGTAGTTCTATCCGATGAATTTTTCCAATCCAAGCCTCGAGCGGAGTTCCCTCCACCTACATATACACAGAGAGGCCTGACGTTCCCTCTTTGTTGAGATTATACTAACCACAGATCAAACTTGAGCTTCCAGGGCTGCCTCCGCCTAGATAGACTCGACACAATACATGGCTGAAGACCAAGCCTGAAAATGGGTCGTGATTCATCACGGAGATAACATATAACCCGTAGTTTTCAGCACGCTATGTGCTGTGTTGAGTCAACCTAGGCGGAGACGAGCCATCAAAGCTTAAGTTTGATCTGTGTTTTGTCGGGAATCTGGGAGGATTCGAGTCGTGGTAGGATCTGGTCTCTCGCTATGGCCAGGCCTTGGCTATGGTTAGATACTGACATGTTCGCAGCAAGCTAGATCAAGCTGAAGAAGAATGTGTGGATGTAAGCATATGGGGGCAATGGCCGAGTTGTATATTAGCCAGCCCTGATTAGAGTTCTTGGAGGCGTTGATGCCTGGGCACAGTCTATGGTGTTGAGAATTTTGACTTTTCTGAGTATAAAAAGGTTCAGACATGGAAAAACTCTGTCAATGTACCTATCCTTGTGTCACGTGTTGTCTGATCTGTGGCTCGTCGAGGAGTGAAACATACAACTCATGAAGCACTGGTTGCCAGTGACACATGTCAGAGTTTCAAGTTTACTAAATAGCGTCTACAGATATTCGAAGTTTGACATGAATATTCCGGCATTTTGAGCTATTCTATTACGACTGCATGGCTCTTGATTTTGGCTTTTACAGCTTCACACTCTTCTGAGGCCAGAGAAGAGTAGGGGGGTATTGTCCCAAACCTTTCGACACGCAATGGCCCTGCAAGTAGCTACCTTGCATTCCTACCTCGAATATCCGGTACTAGATCGTTACGCAGCAATCCTCTACAATGCGGAAGAACCCATTATAACAAGTATTCCTGCCTTGATGGTAGCTGTAACTTTACCAGGGTGCCAGATTATACAGCCTCTGATCCACAGAGGCTTCTGCGGGATGCCATATATTACGTGATGGTTGGTCCTACTCTGAAAATGGTTGCTAGGGTCAGCCAAAGGGCTTCCAGTATACATTCTTGAGACCCTAAGTTGGCTCAACATCTATTCAGCTATATTGATTCTTTCCAGGAATTCCACCATAGATTCAAGGCCGCTCGCTATGGCTGAGTTCATCGCATCCTCATGCCGTTCTTTGGTAACGATGTAGCCCCTCTCCAAAACCAAGTCAAGTATCGCCGTATGCTCTGCTCGGATGATTTCTGACAGCACTTCGCCATGGAAACTATCCTTTTCGTTGTGAACCGTTGCATCGTGGTCTAAGAGCCTCCCCAGAATGTTCAAACTACCGACTCTAATGGCTTTAAAGAGCACGTCACCATTGTATTTGGCATTGCGACCAAGAAGGAATGTGACCGTATCCTCGTAGCCTCCCTGGCACGCTCGATAAAGGGGGTTTGCAAGCCTGGCAAAGCCCCCACGATGAACCTTTGTGCCGGCGCTCATGAGATGACGCACCATTTCCAGATTGCCGTCTCTGGCGTACCTAGCCACCTCGTCTCGTCGCCGGTACCCGATCCTGCGATCCTCATCGTGAATGTCAGGGAATGTGTTCATGATAAAATCATACATAGTAGGCGTAGGGGAGAAGGCTCTATGATAGCACATGTCCATAAGACTTTGGCCGTGTAGGCACTTTGATGCCTCAGAAATGGGTGGCGGAGATGGCCGCACACTTGGAGGGAAAAGGACACTGAAAAACACATCCAAATTGCCACTGGCTATAGCGCCTATGATGGCATCCTTTGTATTCTCATTGGCCCAATCGTAATAGCTTTGGTCATCTGAGAAGGTATAGGACGCCTTGGAGAGGACATGTCGTTGGAACAAGTCTAACATAGAAACATGTCCACGGAAGGAGGCAATCCAAATTGGCGATGGGAAGAGGCCTCCATCGTCAGTTGGACTAGCTTTTTTTAGGGAAAATGTACAGCAATTGACTGGATCGACATGAACGTACCTCAGGTCATGGTTCTGCTGTAGCAGATCTTCGGCCACTGAAATCAGGTTGAAGTAAGCTGCACCGCAAAGCAGATCGAGTTGCGCATTCGATGGCGGGGTTCTCTGGCTTGAATCACTTTGTCGCTCTAACGCAAGCTCGACATTTGGAGGGTGATATTGATCAGGGTAGATGACCCAACATTCGCGACCGTCTCCCTTCAACCACAGCTGTCGTTCGCCGGGGCAGTTGGTGCCTAGCTCCAATGCCAGCCAACACAGGCCTTGGACAGTTTCATCTAGAGAGAGAACATCACCAGAGAGATGACTCAAAGCCTTGCCAGCATTGCGAATCTCCATAAAGCGCCCTACGTCTGGGTTTCTCTCGCCAAGAACACGGAAAACAAGGTAGTCATGCCAGAGCTTAATAGATCCACATGAGTCTTTGCGTGACCACCACTCCCAGCCAATATACGGCGCGGAAAAGGAGTCTAGAATGTGCGTTTGAAAGAGAGCTGGTATGAACACATCATCGAACTGTTCTGAATACCTGCATTAGCCAGAATATAGAAAACCAATGCCTGTAGTAGGTCACTTACTGCATACCAGCCTCAACCGAACACCGCGTTTTACGCCCCGTACTATGATGGAATGAATAATAATAAGATGAAGGAGCTCACTAGGGAGACTTAGGATAGGCATGCTGGTTAGATAGGTAGTCAAGGACGCCCGTTTACATGGCCTTGTTTGATGGTTGTGTACAGGAGAAGTCCGGACTGGAAAACTTTCCATTACACTATTTATACAACCTTAAATACCAAACAGATATAGCTGGAGATAAGGGAGAGTTAATTCTGCATCCCCAAGCTGCATTGCATTGGTTACAATACTGCAACGTAGTTAGGTAGTTGGTAGGTAGCTAAGACTGCGCCACTGTCTGTTGGCAGCGAAAATAGCTTTATGTTTGCAGGGATCCGCATCCAAGCGGCAGTAAGCAAGCCATTTTACGTAATATGTCATTCCTCGGCTTTGGGCGCTGCCGTTGAACCGTCCTCATTTCTGTACTCCTTTACTTACAAGGAACGAAGTTCCAATAAAAGGTCCCCGCCATAGCAAATATTCCGAGGGAATTTCTATATATTCTAACAGACAAAGTTGCCTGACAGGCAATTTCCTCTTTCCAACTTCATTATGTGAACGGGCGAGGATGCAGAGTTATTGTCCTTACTGTCATTGAAACCCTCCCTCCCCTTTTTAAAAACTATCTTCTATAGAATAACAGTACGTACTAATCCCTTTCTATCATTTTTAATGAACCAACTGAAGGGAATACATAGTAAGCTATAGATCTTCCTAGCCAATGATCAGGCGCCCAGAGTAATGTCCATCATGAATGATTGACCTTGCTTGAAGACATAGATCGTAGTAATCTTCTTGGGCTTCATCTCGGGAGTTTTGAGGATTTTCTGAAGGCTTCCAGTGAGGCTGTTCCCCATCAAAGTGTTCTTTGTCTCGATAGATCCCAAGTTTTTGAAAAGTTCTCCCTTGTAACCAGTGTCAGATGCCTTTAGTTCGACAGGAAATTGGACTTGCTTGTCCTTTTCCACCTTTTCAAGAACATCTTCCACATCCTCATTCACCACGTTATGAAATCGGACCTTTGACAACTCTCCAGGGGCCCTACCCTCCGTCTTCCATGACCACATCAACATGTCACTGAATGTCATTCTTCCGGTTGGCCGAGAGTCCTTGTCGTTCCAGGCTTGGTAGACCGTGATCATGTCCTTTTCGGTTCCGATTCCATACTGTCCCAAGAGGCCAGCTGCGCTTTTATCTGCTCCCCAGAATTCGTATATCTGCTCTGTTTCCCACTTCGTCTTTTTGTAGGAGTAAGGGCCGTTGTTTATTTGCTTGTGCTCCTGCTTAGCAAGTTAGCCAATGGTAACTTGCCATTTTATCAGCCCATATGAGGCATGAACTATATTTATGTTGCAATTCCTCTGGGTTCATATGCGCAGATTTTTAATGAACAAGTAAAGGAAGGAAAGCTTAGTCTTACCGCAGCGGCATCTGACACAGCACTCCCTGGCTTGGAGGGTGCCTTGGACAGTGGCTTGGAAGGATTCGTTGGCGTATTAGGATGGGGAACTTTTGATGGAGGACTAAGTGGAAAACAAAGTTAACTCTGAGAGATGATCAGTGACCTCGACTTCCGTAGAAGTATTCACTTACGGTGTCCCTCCAGGGGAAGATGAGGCGGGACGCTTTGATCTCGCATATACGTATCCATATGAGATCTCGCGAGGGTTGTGTGCCTAGATTCAATCGCTATTAGCATTAAGGCCTTTGAAAACATGTAGCTCATCTCTTCCCCTTCGTAAGTCAGGATTATATAACACTCACACTTCGAAAACCAATAGCAGTGGGAGCGCCCTGGGCAGGAAACACGGAGGCTCCCAGAGCCAAGAAGGCAATAATCAACTTTCCAGCGCTCAGAAGCATGTTGGTAGACTGAAGAAGCAAATGGCCAAAGGTTGACGAAACTATTTGAGAAGAGTATAAAGGACAGGGTTTGTGAAGCGATTGGAAGTATAATTCTGTTCCAGACAGAAGAAGAAAGAATGAAGAATGAAAGTCAATTCCGTTCCAGACGGAATCACAGTGGAAGAATCGAATTGAAGATATGAATGACTGAAGAGAAAACTAACAGCAGGACAAGTCCATGTTTATATGCTTGGAAAGATTGCCATGTGGAGTCGCGTATGGCTCAGTATCCCCACACAGCGCCGCCAGAAGCGGGAGGAGGTGTTATTGTCATGTGCGAGTTGGTTCCGTTGCACTCTAAGAGCGACAAGCTGCAGCAGGTAAGCAATTGTTTGTGAGGAAGCAAGAATAACAGATAAAAATATTACATGTTATGCAGTTGGTAATCAAGCCGTTGTAATATTAATGCGTCTTTTTCCAGGCCGAAACAAGATGGACAGTCATGCTGGCCGGAGGGGCGAAGGAGTAACATGAAAGCTGTTGGTCCAACATCCAACCAACAAGCCAATCCGGACATACATAAAGTATTACCGGCCAAATATTCCTGGCCACTGCGTGGATAACTTTCAATTTTTATTGTTGTTTGACTAACATCGTCTTTGCCCAGATAATTTTAGATACACCCAGCTTTCACTATTCTTCCAACATAGTAGGAAGCAAAATAAATACCAACAGCATGTGTCTTATTACACCATCTAAGAAGGCGGCCCTCTAAAGCATACAAATGGCAGTAATCTAGGATTGATGTCAATATCTTCTGAGCTTTTGATGATATTTGATTCGCCGTTTCCATACTAGAGAATAATTAAGAAGAGCACAGTGTGGTTTTGATACAACCGTCAGCTGAGGCTATTGAATAAAAAGTCACTGCCCACATGAATTTGGAGTGTTCAGAGCTGCCATCGAACTACCACTGTTGATTATTCAGGCATATATCGTACGCGTGACCACTATGTAAAGCTATCGAACAAAACACCTATGGTAATAGATTCGCATAGATCTTGCTCCCGCCATGCAAGTAGTGATGTCTTAGTATCAGTTAACCGAGTATCACAAGATGGACCTGCACTTGGAGTCTAAAGCGTGTTTTTCAAAAATCTCCGACCTCGTCCAATTCCAAATGAGCACTCGCTACACAATACATACTACGAACCCAGAAAGGGGGTAAGGCCAAACAAGCTGGCAGAAGAACGGCAAAGTTTTAAAATATCTGTTTTCAGTTTAGGAATTATTTGCTCTTAGATTCTCAAATTAACACTCCCCAGATTTGTCATTCATTGGGAGTGACAATGTAAAGTCAAATGGTCCGTCTCAGTCACTTCAAATCAAGCGGATGCATCCCGTTCAAGGCCATCATACTTCGTATGAGTTGAAAGTTTTCCCTCGTTACCCGCCCGAGGATTAGCACTATTGCGCATCTCAAACTTGTTCTCGGCCAACCGACTAGGATCATTCTTGCTGCCAATCTTGGCATTCATAGCAGCCTGAATGCCATCTCTGGTGCCAGAATCATCGAATCCCTCGTGCAAATTCTTGCCCTTTGGACCATGGGTATCGACATATTGGCTGTTGACGTATGAAGGTGCCTCTCCACCGTAAGAATCAGGCATGTTCTCCGTGCTACCAAGATTGCGGGCGTTTGGATTCTCGTAGGATTCGTCTTGGGTTCCTTTACGATAACCTTCGCTGGAAGCGGCGTCTAGTTTACTAGACTCTGATTTCTTCTTCGACTTGGATGTGTTGGAGTCTTCTAGATGAGCGCCGACGTTTTCGGCGAAAGCACCGCCCTCGCGGTACGACTCGGCAGCGAGAGACTCGGATGGGACGGGGCCGGCAGCTTCCCTCTTATTTGACAAATTAGCACACATATGTTTCCTACAGGAGAGAGCTCCGGACTTACTTTGTTCTCTGAACCGGTATTCTTCTTAGGTGACATGGCGATAGCTCTGCTACGTAGATAGTTATGATTGTATTGTCAAATCTGTCGATATTCCGATACTCCTTAGCCCATATGAAGCCGAATTGCCTTTCATATACTCAGTCGAGGGCGGGCAGGTTTGTATGATGATGAATGACATCATGTTGTGCTTCATCCTCATCAAGTCATTCTCATAATCATTATTGCAATTTAGCTCTTCTGCTATGAGCACCTGCCTGTGATTTACAGACTCTATTACATCATTTGGGCAAGTGGCTGGAACAAGTGCGAAGATATTGGAGTGTTTGGCTAGCGCTCACTTTGTCTGAGGCGATGACGAAATTAGACTTCAATGGCGAACAAGCCCGGATGTTGTTGGAACTTTAGCCAACATAGCGTAGGTGGCTTCGTGAGAAACCACATAACAAGAACATCTATGGGAGGGCAATAAGGGCCAGTCTCCCGGAGTCCAGACGTGAGAAGATGTCATCGTGGTTAGCAGCGAGGTAGGAAATCTACACTAGCCCTATTTACAACGTCTACTACGCATCATACTTCTGATATAGAATGATATGTTGTGTTTTATGTACTAGTTGCCATAGACTTGGCTTCTACTTGTATTTTTTTACCGCGTTGGTGGAACGTTGCGATCCTTATACGTTATCGGCTGACAAAATGTCGAGTAATTTAAATGATATGAGAGTAAGTTATGCCTTCACAACTTGAACCGGCTTTGATGGCACATCGATATCTTAGAGAAACTCTTTTAACGTCCGGGCGTTGTGTTATCAAGTTCTACCATTGCCCTCATGGAATGCATTCGAACACGTATGGTCTATAGAGTGAAAACTGGCAGTGCTTTACACGTGGGCGTCCCTAGAATGCTTCATCCAGGATGGTAGCGATATGTGAGTGTTCGTGTATGCCTCGGGTATCCGATAGGCATATTGCCGACCCAAAAACACAACGTGCTCACTACCAATCAGCTACTCAAAAGCCTTGAATCCGTACTATTTCCCCATACATCAAAAGGATCTCAGTTTGGTACAGAGATCAATCCAAATTAGGAAGCTTGGAGCCGGCCGGTGGCTATCCCATCGAATTTCCCCAACCACGGACCTCTACCGACATCGGTAAGACAAATGACATAGACGACCTTTAGCGTCAGATTGCTCTTGTAGTATCGAGCAGTTTGTTTCCCTTTACTTGGCACGCACGTTGGAAAAGACATGGACAAAGAACAACTGTGGTATCAAACCAGCCAGCTTACGGCATCCTCGGACAGATTTCTACTACATAGGTAATGGCTCCGGAAGGGGTTACGAAGGACAGGGCCCTGCAGTTCTCAGACAAATTCTTTTTTACGAAAGTCTCATGTTGTCGCCTGGACTGCCTTGCATTGGACCTTGCAAACCTCATGGCAACGACTTGTCTCGCGTATACTGGGTCTGCATGCCACGTCATGCTTGGTTGTAATCCTTTTGGGTGATCGACCAATTGTCTTGGCCTTCCGCGCGTACGTACCACTGGCAGAGTCAACAACTTGCCAAGCCAGGCCGAGCCCATAATAAATTTAGCATGTCTAATTATTAGTCTTGATCCCATGTGTGATGCACCCAAATGGCTGAAATAAAACATGGCTCACTACAGCTCTTTTTATGCAAGGCAGGGACTCTGTTTTCTTATCAATAACACTGAACACAATAATAATAAAAAGGTCTAAATTATCAACACTATTTAGCTTGGTACTGTATTTATTACTGGGTTAATTGTTTTGATATTGCACTCAATTTCGACGCTGGAGGTTCTGGGTGGGTGTGCCATGTTTTATGTCAGTCGCTTGGCACCTCACTGAGTAGCACATAATATTGTAAATTGAGAACAAGGAAGAAGTAATCGGGCCACGCACGGGATCCGCGGGTAGTTCTAAGTTATGCCAAACAATGTCACAGGCCCATGGCTCTGGTCAGGATTCTTCGGGCCGTCACATGGGAAACATGGGTGTCAGGCGCCGGTTCGCCAAGACCTTGAGTACCGAGAATTGCGCAACAAGGCATGTTTTCCTCGGAGAATCAGGGTTCTGCTCACCGCGTTCGTCATTTGGAAGATAGCGACTATGGGTTGCGTTGATGCCTGAGTATAAGAAAATTATGGAGTGTCTACATCGGATCGCAATTCATTCACACTCTTTCCTCATCCTCTATTTTCCAAGGAGGGGTTAACACAAAGATTATGAGAAGAATAAATCTCAAGGCTGGACCTACTTCATTATTGCCGCAATGGCGATGGCAGCCACCGAGGCTGGTACGAAACAGTCCCAGAGTGAGCAGGTTGTGGAAAGCAATAATATCCGTGGTATTCATACTTGCAGCGTTTCACTTCCTAGATAATTTCCAGAAGCATCGTGCGGAGCTTGCGATCAAGTACACACCTACGCAATTCGGCCGTTTCTCGACTTTGATAAAAATGGCTCTCAAGGACCATGAGTGGCAACAGGATGGTGGTCCAAATGAGACAGGAGAGGGGTACTCTCGAAAAGATACCTTGGCACATCGAGATGAATGGCAGCAGCTAGGGAGAGGATTCGAGGGTAGAGTATTCAAATACCAGGGAAATGTCATCAAAGTATTCAGCAGCGAGAGAACACCACTCAGGAACTGTATGCCTGGGACGGAACCACGGCTACGGTGGCCAACGGAAATCCCAGCCTCCCTTATTCTTGGTGGTCCGGCCAATGAGCCAAAGAGGGAGAACCGTTCGGGTTTTCTATCCGTCGTCGACTATTACCTTTCGCCCAGCACGGGTAACCAAGCCAGGGAATGGCACCTTGTAACTCCATTCCTACCGCTGGGTAACCTTGGGAAGCTGGCGTATCACTTGAGGAGGTCTGACATCTCTTATACAGTTCGCGAACTCGATATCGTGTTCCGACCCTCAATCGAGCGTCTGTTGGAGGTCTTGGGTGGAATGCATATGGATTCTGGGCTCTGCCACGATGATGTGAAGCTGGACAATATATTCCTGGGTTCTTCGCAGCCGATACTAGATACATCAAAATTGGAGGCTGGTTCAGCAACAGAGTGGCTTCTGGGAGATCTCGGCAACGTTCGCGAACGAGACCATCCGTATCATGTGTCGAACCTATGGACACTGAGCGGAAACTTGCCGGACTGCCGAGCAAACGATGTACTGAGGCTGCTCAAGGTGTACATGACATTTCTCAGAGAATCAATGGTCGAGCCTGCAATATTTGACGAGGAATTTTTCCAAGACTCACAGCCGTGGAGCAGGCTGTTCTGGTTGATTTGGGAAGACGCTCAGAAGGGACGAGGCCTATCTGCAAGCTCAGCTTTGGAGCTGTCGCGGAAGAGCGCACATCGGCCCACAGATAAGCCAAGAGAGAACGCGTACATCGATCGTCAGCCAAGAGAATGGTGGGACTTTCTTTGGCGTATGATAGCAGGAAACAGCGTGGCACGGCACTGGGCAGTGAAGAAGACACTTCGTATCAGTGCAGGAGACGCAGTGGCCAGGAAATGGGGGCTGGTTCTCCTCTTGAGCGTGCCTCGTGGTTCCTGTGATGTAGATACCCTATAGCTGAAAATATTGGGAGCTCACATGCGTATGCGCGAAACCACTTGGTCGAACTTCTAGTCGTATTAACCTCAAACGAGACAATCTCGTAATGCTGATATGGATGACGACGCTTCAGTAATACATACGTTTGGTGGTGATCCTTTTGTCACTTTGAGTAATCCACTCAGCGTTCCCCGTCTCCCGAGGTGTGGGAGCAAAGGTTCGATGCCCACCTCTACCAAAAGCGACACCGGGATTCATGAGCCAACGTATTCATTCCGACATAAAGATAGGATGGCAGGCTTAAATAAGAAATCAAGTTGTCTGATATCATTTTATTTTATTTACTAGAATCTAAATAATTTTCAGACATGCAAACGAATGTCTTTCTAGTATATGCCGACATGTGAATATATCTCAATGTACTTCCATGTACCTGCGAGTACCCTATTGGCTGGCGGGCACTGCACTGCGATAACAGACACCGGACAAAGGATGGCTGTGCACGCAGCGATCGCCCAAAGCTGTCTCATCACTAGGTGCCAATTGGTCGGAATTGACTGGAACTCAATTTCTGGCGCCTGTGTGTACTGTCGAGCGGGCGCGAAACAACTCGACAAACTGGTTCTTGGTGGTGAGGCGCGCGCGGAGTCCACGGAGTGGAGGCCTCAATGGAGACCGGATGGTGGTCTCCCACATCCAGAGCACCCTAGGCTCGTATTAATATTAGGCTTAATAAACATGCTTTTTACGTGACGGCTGCCCTACGGATTAAGCTTATTAAACACCGTACTTAATAGTCGGACACCCTGGGCAATAATAAAAAACACAGGTCCGCGGCGTCGTAGGTGAATGGAAGCGCAATGGAAAACAAAGGCCAATAAGTCATGTATGCGACAATCGTCTCTCTGGCTAGAGACAGATCATTCGCCACGAGTTTGGCCTGAGTAAGAAGCCAAGAGTCTTGTTACCAGGTGTGGTGCATTATTATTGCGGAGGTGCCGGCTAACCCACAATGCCCAGACTGCCCAGACTTGCACGGATACGAAAATGGCCACTCCTGACACAGAATCGCTGCCTGCCAAGAGCCTCCTTTTAGCAAAACAGAAACGCACGTCCAACTGTGGCGCGACGGTCGGTGCATGGTGTGGGCATTAACGAAATCTGCCGCAAGTGTCTAGATCTGCTGCTTCTACATCATACGCTGCTACTGAAATAGCGATGCGGTCATGCGATCTGCCCTCGAAATTAACACAAATAACCTTCCGTTTGGGCTACCCACTCCCTATTAGCCGACCGCCAGTGATTGTATCCATTGGCACAGTACGTCGCACAGATCGATACCTTGGCATGGGGAGGGAGAATGCTTGCTGGCTGCCTCCCTAGGAGTACATAGTATGGAACCTTGATGGAAAGAGGACTGTTTGGAGACCTCTTCGACCAAGCCTGCCGATCAGAGGATAAGGACGAAGCCAACTAGAGCGTCGATGAAGCAGAGCTGGAATTACGAGTGGCAGGGGGCGAGATTTACTGTGGTCCAGGAGTGGAGAGACGGCGTTTAAGCCAAGACGACGAGACCTGGAGCGTAGCGCCAAAGGATAAAATAATGCGCTGCAAAGCCAAGAGCAATAGTGCAACGCGCTTCGATGGCTGGGTGGTGACGACGACTCCAAGATCAGCCAGTGCCCAGGAGAGGCTGGTGGTGAGCTTGGCTTGTTAGCAAACTCTGGGCATGAGCTTGATTCAGGACAGAGACAGGCGGCTAGCGGCTCGGCCTGGGGAGAGAACAGCAACCTGATGCTGATCCATTACTATGCTTAACAGGATGGTATGTTTCAAGGGAGATGGTGCGGTGGAGAAGCGCCCCTATTCCTGCCGCTTGGCCAAGACAATGGAACAGAAAGGCACGGGAGGATACTTGCCGGACGGTGGTGTCGAGATGGGAGCTACAGTGCGCAGGGCGGCGCTGCACTGCGAGGCTGCACTATCGAGGCCTAGCAGATGGCCGGCGATCTGGGCGGCGCGAAGGGCAATAGCGGCTGGGGTGCGAGCTGGCTGGCGAGCTCGTGTCAGTCTCGTCTGGTGTGAGCTCGCAGGAGCTCATACTGTAATATCAACCAGACGCACAGACCCGGGCAGGTCAATAAGGTCTGTACGAGCCGTGGATTTTAACTGGTGGGGGCCTCCCTAGTGCAGCTCCGCAGTCAGTTGGCCCGCTGGGGGCTGCCAGGCACAGGCCACTGATAGGGCAAGGGGGCTCGCCATTGGAGCTGCCCACCTACCGCTAAGCGTAAGGTTGGAGCCAGGTGCTGCGCCTCGCCGCCCAGCCCTGGCCCGGCCTGTCCCCTGTCAGCGTACCATCAGGGGGGTGCCGCCGGAATGGCAATTTATTGCTGGCAGGCCCGGCCTTCCTGCTGGCCGTTTGCTCCTGCCCTTTATCCTGTCTTTTAGAGACTACGACCACTTGATTTCGATTTGATCTCTTTGATCTCTTCTTCTTCTCATCCTCTCTTCCTCCAGTCACTCGCTCCGACTAATTGAATCACTTGCCCATACCTGGCTTAAGGTAGTCGAGATTGGCCTCCTCCCTCATTGGCTTACTTTTCACACACTCCCTCAACGATAACTTGCAAACATCTAATTCCACGACCGTGTCGTTCTTCACTCGAGTCGCAACGCATTAACGACTTTCAACTTGCTTTACCATCAAAGAAAATCCAAAAATCAGTTCACAATGGTTTCCAAGACCCTTTCCATGCTGGCCCTCGCGGGTGCAGCTGTTGCAGAGCTCCCTCCCATCCACATCAAGGTAGATAATCTATCCCCCACAATGGCCCCATTCCAACCAGCAAAAGAGGCGCATCTAACCAGGACTGGTCATATAGGGCATGAAGTTCTTCTACGAGAACGGTACCCAGTTCTACATGAAGGGTATTGCTTACCAGGCAGAGATCGCCACTGCCGGCAGCAGCACCAACACTGGCAACAACACTGACTACAAGGACCCTCTGTCCAGCGAGAGCGACTGCAAGCGTGATGTTCCCCTGCTGCAAGAGCTCGGTGTCAACACCATTCGAACTTACGCCATCGACCCCAAGGTCGACCACGACAAGTGCATGAAGCTCCTCGATGACGCCGGAATCTACGTCATTTCTGATCTTTCTCAGCCTGCCCTCGCCATCAACCGTGACGAGCCTGAGTGGAACACCGAGCTCTTTACTCGTTACAAGGATGTCATCGACGCCCTTGCCAAGTACAAGAACACCATCGGTTTCTTTGCTGGTAACGAAGTCTCTGACGCCAAGAACAACACCGAGGCTTCCGCCTACGTCAAGGCCGCCATCCGTGATACCAAGAAGTACATTGTTGACAAGAAATACCGCCCCATGGGTGTTGGGTATGCCTCCAACGACCACCCCGATATCCGCAATGAAATCGCCGAGTACTTCAACTGTGGTGAGGATGCCGAGGCTACCGATTTCTGGGGTTACAACATTTACTCTTGGTGCGGTAAGAGCAGCATGAAGGAGTCTGGCTACGACAAGTGGGTTGAGTTCTTCAAGAGCTACAACGTTCCTGTCTTCTTTGCCGAGTACGGTTGCAACGCTGGTGGTGCTAAGACCCGTATTTACACCGATACCGAGGCTCTCTTCTCTAACGAGATGACCGGTGTCTTCTCTGGTGGTCTCGTTTTCAAGTACCAGCAGGAGGAGAACGACTACGGTGTTGTCGAGATCAAGAACGGCAAGGCTGAGAAGCAGGGTGATTTCGATGCCCTCAAGAAGGCTCACGCCAAGGTCAACCCCACCCGTGTCCAGGAGAAGGACTACAACCCCAACACCGGCCGTGATCAGTGCCCTGCCGTTGGTGATGTCTGGAAGTCCAACAAGAATCTCCCTCCTACCCCTGACCAGACTCTTTGCGACTGTGCCGAAGCTGCCTCTGAGTGTGGCCCTGCTGATGACCTCGACATCAAGGACTACGGCAGCCTCTTCGGTTACATCTGCGGTGAGAAGCCCGAGCTTTGCGCTGGTATCAACGGCAACGCCACCACCGGTGTCTACGGTGCTTACAGCATGTGCGATGCCAAGGCCAAGCTGACCTACCTGCTCGGTGCTTACTACAAGGACCAGAAGAGCTCTTCTTCCGCTTGCGACCACAAGGGCAAGGCTTCCGTCAAGAAGGCCAGCGCTGAGTCTTCTTGCAACGCTGCCATTTCCTCCGCCAGTGCCCACAACAACAAGGTTGCCACCGCTACTGCTGCTCTGGCCAACCCCACCAGCACCTCCACCACTGGTGACAGCGGCAGTGCCGGATCCAGCACTTCCATCTCCCGTGTCTCCATCTTCGGCAACCTCGCCGTTGCCCTGTACAGCGTCGTCGCCCTCGGCGCTGGCGCTGCCATGATTGCTCTGTAAACGCATCATATTTTGTTGAGACTCTTGGAATGTATTTATCGTCTTCATTGTCAGTTTGACTTTATGCTGGATACCAGACTGTGTTGGTCACGTTCAGTTTTTGCGGGGTTGCGTGGTAAATGCCAGTAGAACGAATTAGCATGTTTTAATGGCACATTGGTTGCTCTACTTATTTTCAGATATTCTTTGTATCTATTAGCGAAGTCCTGTGCATGTAACCAAAAAGTTATCATTATCTTCTATTTTATCAGCCTGTGATTGTCTCCCTCGATAGGTACATATGTGGTATGTTCTATTCCCTCCGCGACGCGAATTCAGTCGTAGCGATACTGTCCTGATAATAGAGCTTGTCGGGATCCCTTTTGCAATGTGCTCGCCGCGGTCCTCATTGCCTCCTATGAATCACAAGGTCGGGACTTTACCTGCGCGGCCAATTGTGGAATTTGGCACCTCTGCCAGGCTTTGCTTCTCCAAGGATATCACCAGCCTTTTACAATATTCTATCTAGCCCTTATTACGTATGTCTGTCGAGTGGGAGATCTATGCCAGTGACTGGGCGATCTATAATGGAGCTCTTGGTGATATTGAACGCTGGGTCCTATGGCCACAAGTTGATGGCACAATGTATCAAGATGTACTGTAGTGAATCTAGGAATAAGTCAGTCTGAGTGAACTCGGGGGGTGATTTTTGCTTCCTATTTTGTACGTCTCAAATGAGCACTGTGAACTCCCCGGCGTTGGTTGAGGATTCTCATTCCGGTCCAGATGATTCCGTATGTCACTCGAAGCGAACCAGCCACTTGCGTCGGTGATTGTAGTGAATTTGAGATTCTAGAGGTGAAAGGCTTATCCTGATTGACAAGACATGCTAATGAGATCGTTTTTACAATACCGTGGATATGTGTAGAGACGCCTGTCTCCACATCTAGATTAAAGCACAATCACAGCCTCAAGCTGGTCACTGTCGAACGCCACTCCAAGCCAGTCAGCCATCGCCCTGGATTAACAGAAGGTACAATCAAACACGAGAGACTAGCAAAAAAAGGGTATTTGCTTCTTTATTTCTTTATTGCCGACCTGTTGGCTTCCCATATCATAGCCCTTTTCGAAGTTGTTCTGGTGGGTGCATTTTATACTATTTACACCAGTTTAAAGTCTATTGAGAGGTCTTCATTCAGGCATCCTAGTTCTCAATTCACCCATCGGAGCAGTCTGATGTCTGGTATGAACGAGCTGACTTAAGTTTCCAATCCATTTCAAGTAGTGCTGAAGTTGAGGTATGCGTGACTAAGCATGATCACGTGATGCGAAGGCAGGTCGTCGTGTCGCCCTGGCGCCTGATTCCATCATCGTCGACGGAGCACTGGCCTGCCTGCTATCCAGATACCCACTCCAGCTTCGACGAAACATCAACATCACTTTGCACTCTACTCACCTGGGCACACCACCCGAACCCTATTAGATTGCATTGTGCCCAAACTGACGACATCTAACTAAAACTCCAAGCTCTTGGAGCTTTACTCGCCAAGATGGTTGGTTTCTCACTATCTTGTTGATTGCCATGCTACCAGTACTGACATTACGAATCATAGGGTCAGGGACAGTCTGGCATGGGAGGCCAGGATGGTCGGGATGACAAGGATAAAAAGGTTCGTCTCAGCCAAGATTCTTCTCGATGTTGATGCATGGAATTCGATGCTGACCCTACCAACAGAAGGATAAGCCAAAGTACGAGCCACCACCACGACCTACGACCCGAGTCGGCCGCAAGAAGAAGAAGGCTGGCGGCACCAGTGCTGCCGCCAAGCTCCCTGCCGTATACCCCAGCAGCAGATGCAAGCTCCGTCTACTCCGCATGCAGCGAATTCACGACCACCTCCTGCTTGAAGAGGAGTACGTCGAGAACCAGGAGCGCCTTCGCAAGGCCAAGGCGGCCAAGGAGGGGCAGACTTCGGGAGCCGATGCGGATAACGACCGCCTGGCGGACGAGCGTGGCCGAGTCGACGATATGCGTGGCAGCCCCATGGGAGTTGGAACGCTGGAGGAGCTGATTGACGACGACCACGCTATCGTTAGTAGCACCACCGGTCCAGAGTACTACGTCAGCATCATGAGTTTCGTGGACAAGGATCTCCTTGAGCCCGGTGCTAGTGTCTTGCTTCATCATAAGATAATCAGCATTGTCGGTGTTCTCACTGATGACACTGATCCGATTGTGAGCGTGATGAAGCTTGACAAAGCTCCAACAGAGTCATATGCCGATATTGGAGGTCTGGAAACACAGATTCAAGAAGTCAGAGAATCCGTGGAGCTGCCGTTGCTCCACCCAGAACTCTACGAAGAAATGGGAATCAAGCCTCCCAAGGGTGTTATCCTGTACGGTGCTCCAGGTACCGGAAAGACGCTGCTTGCCAAGGCCGTGGCCAACCAAACATCTGCCACATTCTTGCGTATTGTGGGCAGTGAACTTATTCAGAAGTACCTTGGTGACGGTCCACGGCTGGTACGACAGCTGTTCCAGGTATGTTATGCTCTTAATCTCTATGCAACGAACTTCTCGCTAACTTTATATCCAGGTCGCTGGCGAGAACGCCCCGTCTATTGTTTTCATCGATGAAATCGATGCTATCGGCACGAAGCGATACGATTCGACGTCAGGTGGTGAGCGTGAAGTCCAGCGAACTATGCTTGAATTGCTCAACCAGCTCGACGGTTTCGACGACCGCGGTGATGTCAAGGTTATCATGGCAACCAACAAGATCGAGACTTTGGACCCTGCACTGATCCGACCCGGACGTATCGACCGAAAGATTCTATTTGAAAATCCCGACCAGAACACGAAGCGCAAGATTTTCACGCTGCACACATCCAAGATGAATCTCAGTGACGATGTGGAGCTTGAGGAGTTCATCTCGCAAAAGGACGATCTATCCGGTGCTGATATCAAGGCCATTTGCTCTGAGGCCGGTATGTTGGCTTTGCGGGAGCGAAGAATGCGTGTCCAGATGGCCGATTTCCGATCGGCGCGCGAGCGTGTTCTGCGCACGAAGCAAGAGGGCGAGCCCGAAGGCTTGTATCTGTAGTGGACTTATTATACAGGTTAGACGGGAAGATAAATATAATCATGGCTTCTTGGGCAGCGGATTCAGATGCGTTACGAGTCGAATTGTTCACTGGAAGCGAATAAAGGAATCAATATTTCACCACCCAGATTGGCGTGGGTGTATGGAGTAGAGTGCCAGTGCCCATTCATTCCTTATAGAACTGGGCGTTAGCCATTCTAACTCAGGTCCCCCAAAACCATGATATTATAGCTTCCAATTCCAATGGCAAGCCCACACTGTAGCACCCCTGTGTCCCACCACGTCCCATTTGAATCATACAGTCGTAGAAAATAGAATAGAAAAGCATATGCCAATCTGTCAACGCTACAAGTTGACGTTGGCTCCCAAGTAACAATATTACAACACAGTATCGTAGAAACAATCATTGCCCAGCTCCCTCACCACCCCCGTTATGAACTTAGAATTCTTTGCTCGAAGGGGCGCCGGCGCCATCGACGGACTTGACACGAACGGCCTTGGTGTTCTCGCCGCCCAACAGCTGGAAGTACAGCCACCTGGCGGCGAGGAAGGATCCGAGCGCCCAGGCCCAGACGAGCAGCGCGATGGAGGCGGCGCCGAGGAGCGCGGGGACGAGGACGAAGAGGGCGACGCCGAACCAGAAGAGGGTGAAGAGGAGGGCGACGCCGAAGGCGAAGACGAGCGTCGAGAAGACGAAGGCGGAGAAGATGAGGATGGGGGTGGAGCAGAAGACTACTTGTGCGACGAGGGCGGACTGGGCAATCGCGAGGGTTGATCATTAGCAAAGTGGGTTCGCTGTCTTTAACTTTACGACGGGAGGGCAAGTGTGATACGGGAGATGGGAGGGGGCGCGTACGAATAGGATGGGACGGGTGTGAGCGAATGTCTGGACTTGGTCGTAGGCCTGCTGGCGGGAGGCCGGTGGGACGACACGGTCGAAGGAGCGCTGGGCGTATGAGTAGGCGCCGGCGGCGGTGTCGGTGACGGTGCCGCGGATACCGTTGGACTCGGACATTGCTGCGGTTGGTTTGGGGAGATGTGGCAGGTCAAGGGAGAGGATCTGGAAGCTGGGTAGTTTCGGGGAAGATTGGGCGAGTAGTGGCGTTTGCGACGCGATCGAGTATCAAAAGAAATCACTGGGATTGAAAGCGAAGAGTCAAGTGGCAGAAGTGGAATTGAAGATAGAATGGATCGCGGCTGTTTCGAGTACAGGTATGAAGAAGACGGCGAGGCTTTAGAGCAGCAGCACGTATTGCGATGTCTCGTAAATGATGGTGTGAGGTAGGAGCTCTGGGAGCTTTTGGAAGCTCGTGCAGGCAAGTGATGACGCAGGCTGAATCTAGTGCCCCACGCTACCCTATAGCGGCATATCTGGCGTTGCACGGGTTAGATAATAATTCCTGATGATAAACATGCTCAACTTATATGATTTTATTCCATCCAGATGCTTGGTTTAAAATATACAGATCTGAGGGAGTAAATACTGGTTCAGGATTGGTATTTTTCCATCTACGTAACTGTAGGGGACGCTTGTGGACTTTAGATATCCTTTTGGGATCACTGTATACCTAGGTAGTTGACGGGCATGCCAGCGTAAGAGTTTTACACTCAATGAAGTCATCATCAAAACATGCCAAGAAGCTCTTTATGGATTACTTCCTGAAATTCCAGACAAATAAACAAATCTCTCAGTGTGTCTCCAAGGTTGCATTTCATCTCGCTGTAGGTTCGCTGCTCTCTCGCCTCGGGCTCGGTGTGGCAGGGCTGCATCGAGCCGGGATCTACAGCCGGCGATGCAAGTCGATTCTTACGCAATTCGGGACAGGCCAGTGCCCCGCGCATTCATTGCCCAATCAGGAAACCCAGGGTATTTTTATCGTGAGTCTGGGGCATCATCCACAGCGTATCTCATCCATC